TATATATTTATTTTGTTTTCACCTGTTTTATTTAATGTGTTTTGGCTCTGTGCTTCAGTCCTTCAGAAGGATCTCTTCATACCAGCTCTTTAATACTTTCCACAGATAATAATGAGTGTGTGAGTGAGGAGTCCTGCTGCAGCCACTTCTGTAAAAATTATCCAGGCGGCTATGAATGCAGCTGCTGGCCTGGTTACAGACTAAATCCAGACGGTTGCAGCTGTGACGGTAAGGTTGGACTCTTAGCAGATCATCTAGTCTGGTACTTATTAAGGTTTTCTGTGTTGTGGCAAAGCTGTGTATGACACAAACTCTAAAAAGCGTATTTACCAAGTGAGTCCTGAAAAATTAATCCTTTTAAGGCCAGTTCCTACTAGAAAAGGGGGGAAAAAGAACATTTTACTCAAAAAGCGATGTACAGTCAAGTGCAACTTCTGGATGGGTAGAAAAAAAAATCCATATCTGTGTCATCTTGCAGTGCTACACTATCTTTTCATATACTTGCACTATGTTTGCATTTTCTTCTGTTAGACATTGACGAGTGTCTGGCAGAGATCTCGGACTGTGAACAATACTGCATCAACACTGTGGGAGCGTACGAGTGCTTTTGTCAACAGGGCTTCCGTTTGAATGAGGACCGGCGCTCTTGCGTGTGTGAGTAACATTTTCAGCTTTCCAAATACCACTCTGCATTTCTTCTTGACATATAACATTGTACTTGGTCTCCTTAGCTCTTTACGGCAGAGAGCTGGAAGAGGAAGATGAAGAAGAGGAAGATGAGGAAGTGCAGCTCGAGGCTGGCAGATTACCGGACCTGCTGTTCCGCAACGCTCCTCAGCTCCTGCAGTACACGGCAGCCTTGCGCTCCCATTACGGCAGCGAAGATGATGACGACGATGATGGTAGTCACCGTGGTGACAGTGAAAAAGTATTAGAGATCCTGAGAGAGCGCAGGGGAGAGCTCAGACTGGAAAGTCACATAGGTACAGTAAAAAAACAAAACCCCAAAACAAGAAAAACAAAGCATGTGTGCTGAGTCTGCACTTTGTGCCTGACCAGATCAATATTATTTTATTACTCTCCTTTTGTTTTCCTATTAAATGTTGATGATCTTCAGGAATTTCCTTTGGAATTTCCTTTTTTAGTGTGTCTAGATGACTCATTTGGGGAGGACTGCAGTGTAAGCTGTGAAGACTGCGTGCATGGAGCGTGCAACGTAAACAGAGACCGATGCGAATGTTCGCCTGGCTGGACGGGGGTCATCTGCAACGAGAGTGAGGATCTTTAAAAGTGTTCTGAAGTGACGTCTTTCCATCATAACACAAACACTGTCCTTCGGGATAAATCATGTGCCACCTGTCATCAGTGTACTGTAGCAAGTTAGCTTAGCATGAAGACTTTGCTCCATCCAGAAGTAATAAAAAACTATATGGTGGGATTTGTAAATACTAGGCTATATCTCATTGCCTTATTTTGCACAAAAAATAAAAAAAATTGTGACTTTATAAAAGTATTTTGTATACAAATGACACATTATGACAAAGCCTTAGAGGGGAAACTGGCTCCATATTTACCATTATTTTAAGTGGCACATGATCATCTCCTCATCTCACTTTCAGACAGAAAGGGATGAAGGAGAGACATTTATTTATTTATTTATTTATTTGTATGGGAATATTGACCAAAGCGAATGAGTCATGTCCAGATCACATATCTGATTCAGTTGTACATTGAACAGTACAGCATAGACGGGCATGCACATAGCCTGGATTGTATCACAAGGCACATGTTTTCCCAGAGCTATTTGAACTGCCTTTAGCAGTATGGTCTAGTTAAAGAAAGATGACATAGCTCCCTGTGTGCATCGATCCAGCGTCATGTATCAAAGCCTGACGGCTCTTGTGTGGGAGGCTGCGTTATTTATGGGCTCCAGAACACAAGAGGGCCAGGGGAATCAATTTGTCTGCTACTACTGTGGCCAGGACCCACAGCAAGAGCACAGCCCGAGGCCAAGGATGTCCACTACTGGGTTACAAAGCAAAGCTTCATTGTTCCCATCCAGCTCTGTGATTAATGGCTGTCTTTTGGTCTGAACCTGAGGAGGAGAGCCACGTGTGATAAGTCCATTAGAAGCATTCTGAAACGAGAGTCTGAGGGAGGCAGTGTTCAGATGCACACCCTGAAGGTGATGGGCCTGGGCAGCATTTTCAGGTGGAGTAGATGAGGAATATTGCTGCCTGAGGCAAAGATATGGGGAATGGTGCAGTAGGCAACAACATAGGGGGCTATAAGGAAAAAAAATATGGGCCATGTATGGCCTTTAAAAAATGTGACATATAACATTTTTATTGTATGAAGTTGTATTATATATAAAAAATATATAATTAACTGGGTTACTCTTTCCCATATCTCAAATAATTGAATTATATTTGAATCATATCGCTGAAGCAGTGTGCCAACTCTTAATACTGCTGTTGAAGCATTACAAGTATTTATGGTGTTTAAAACTAGCTCTCTTTGTTATACATGTTGCCTCAGGATGCCTTAAGTATTTATTTTATTTAACCAGGAAGTCCCTTGAGATTACAAACTTTTTTTCTAGGGAGAACCTGGTCAAGAGGGTACCTCAATACAAAACGACACCCTTGCCTACTGACCTGTTCACTGCCTTTTTCATATATTATTATGATTTCTCTAAATACGTCTTGTCCCTTCATTTATATATTCATTCATTCATTCTGAACTATTTCCTGTTCTTATCCTGTTCCACAGGGTGCTGCCGTTGCTACACTATTTTAAACAATTTCATCCTGCGATATAAAACTGTTGTAAAGAAGCTGCGATATGGAAGTTAAGCAGCAGTTAACTTGATGGATTAGAATACTTGAGCACGTCTTAAACAGCCAGCTGTTTCTTCTCAGAACTGCTAACAAGGCCAGTGAGATTAAGAAAGTCAGGCAAACCCACAACACCAGGAAAGAGAGGACGGAAGCTGAAAGTGTTTACTGCCTAGACCAAAACTCTAGCTTTTGATGTGTTTATTTTCAAATTGAAAAAAAAAATAAAAAATATATATATATCTTTGGATTTCCACACTGAACTTTTTTTGAGCCAAAAAAAAATCTTCATCTCCTTTCTCTTCAGCTTGTCCACGGGGGAGCTACGGACAGGCCTGCAACAGCCTGTGTCGCTGTCAGAATGGAGGCTCCTGCGACCCTGTGACTGGCAAGTGTTTGTGCCCCCCTGGGGTGCAAGGCTTGCTCTGCGAGGATGGTTTGTATACACGCATTCCTACAGACGCATGCAACCACCTGGGTCTAGTTTGCTTGCGACCCCCTCCACATGAATTTAACTATGTGATTAGACATCTGTCAGAATGCTTTTATCCTCTAAAACTGACGAGTCATTAAAAAGATTTATGCTAGAAAGATAAGAAAAAAAACCATGAATTAAAGCTTGTTTCATACCAGGGTGATTATCTTATAAATAACTAGATTCATCTTGATATCCCAGGGTTTGGAAATCACTGCCCTGTACTCTGCTTCAGTGTGTGCTGAATGAGCCATTACCATTATTAAAGATGTCTTCTCACAAATGAGGCATGTGGGCTCTGTTGTATTTTTGAATCTAAGCAGGGACTAATTTATTTGGCATTATTCTTGCTCACAGGTTGCCCAAAGGGTTTTTTTGGGAGGCACTGCAGAAGAAAGTGCAACTGTCCCAACAGTGTGCACTGCCATCGTCTCTATGGAGGCTGCCTGTGCCCTCCAGGATTATATGGGCGTTTTTGCCACCTGGGTGAGTGAGAATTGTTAGAGTTCAAAATATTGGTGATAGCAATGTCAATGTTTTTAATGTCACATATTAAAGAAAAGCTTAACAGTCAGGGAATATGAAACTTTTACTGCATTAGCTGAAGAGAGACTGTCCATGCAACTGATAATATTTGCTGTTGTGTTTCTTTATAAGATGACAATAATAACGTAGTTGTCAAAAAAAGTGTGAATAATACTTCAGAATCAAATCATTCATACAGTAAGCTTTAGGTTGTGTCAGCTGTTAATACGTTTTCAGGTTTGCACACACACACACACACACACACACACACACACACACACACACACACACACACTTCAGTTTTCATAGTACTCAAACTGCCAACATTGTAAAAAATCTGCATTAATTTTACTTGTAATGAATACACGTTCTCAGCTTTCCGTTTCCTTTGGATGACAAGTTCACACCGACACGTCGCTTGCTTCACTTGGCCGTTTTGATGGTGGCACCAGGTGTGGAGGCAGCTCTCTGGGGAGCCAGTGGCCCTCCACTTTCTCCTCGATGAGGTGGACCGCCAAAGCAAACTCCTCATCGTCCAGCATGCCATCCCCGTCTACATCGGACAGCCTCCAGATGTGAGCGAGCACAGAGTTGGGCAGAAGAGTCTTTGTCATCCACTCTTTGACTTTGGTTCCGCTAAGTTTGCCCTCAGTTGGACTGAGGTTGTAGAAAATCTCATCGTATTTGGGTTTGTATTTCTCCACTACCCACTCATCGAAATCTAGCTCGCTCCCCTCGTCTATGGGAGGTTCTTTGAACGGGTCTCTGCTGTAATGCTCGGGCTTGAATGTTCTCAAAAATTCCCCGTCCAGCACTCCGTGGAGGGATCGCTTTCTCTGTTCTTGTTGTTGGATGTAGGGGACCAGCTTGGCGATGTCAGTGCTGAGGAGTTTATCCAAGGAGGCCATAAGGCTTGGTTTTAGCTTCTTGAACTTTGAGAAGTCTTGCCCCAAAAGTTTCTCCTGAAAATGTGTGCAATCGCATGTGAGACTAACACAGAACATTAGAGTGAATGAAATCTAACAAATATGGTATTTAAACAATAATCAAAGAAGTTGTTTTGTTGACCTGCATCTTTGTGCAGTCGGGGAAATCGCCAGCTGGGACACGATGCTGCTGCTGAATCTTGCTAAAAATCACGGGAAGCTGGTAGATCAGATTATGCTTCTTGCTTTCTCTACAAAAAATGGTTGGCATCTCCTGCTTCAGATAGCTGATAATGTGTGCATGAGCCTGTGAAGAAACACAAGGGAGTCACAAAGGTCACCACAGCAGCTGGATTTGTTTATGCAAAGTTCCGGTTGGAATTTATCATAACGGCTGATTTCTGACCCTCACTAAGCGCGCTCTCTTCACCAGGTCATTCAGCTTGCGTACTGCAGCGTTGCGTGGCAGGTTCCTTATATCGGCCAACAAATCCTCCTCCTCCAACTCTATCAGCTGGTAGTGGTCGCACATCTGCCTCGGCTCTGACCAGAAGGATCCGATGTAAACCCGTAAAATCTCAGGGGTTCGAAACACTTTTCCCAGTGACCACATGAGGGCGCCATACACTCTCATCAGATACTGAGAGTCCACCCTGTCAGCTTTGTTGAGAACCACACGCAACTTGTCCTCATAACCGCACAGGGCCTCGAATGCTCGTGTGAGCTCATCAGAAAACTCCAGCTTATGCGCGTCAAACAGCAGGATGATCCGATCGACACGCTCTGCAAACCAGCGCAGCACTGCTGCGAAGTCATAGCCTGGGGAGAAGGAACAGAAACATAGGGGTTTCATTAAGACTGTATGTAACACAGCCTCACAGCCTCAAGCCATCGAGGAACGTTTTACACATCCCAGAGGTCCTCACTGGTTTCAAGCCATTTCGGTTACACCCACTGAAAAATGTGTCCATAAAACGAAGCAAAGGCTTTTCAGTTCCTCTCAGCTTATCTCCTGCCAGCCCAAAGTCATACTGCTTTCATCAGCTTTGCTTCTGCCTTCAAGTGTTTGAATTTTGCTGGCTGAAATGTTCCTACTTCACTGGGTCTACTACATTTATCACTCTGCTCCCACAGTCCAACATTAATAGAAGCAAAGGCTTGTTAATTTCCTCTGGCACTAAAAGGGAAATTAGAAGACATTCAGCCTCACCTCGGCTCAGTTTTCTTTTAGCAGCAGTCAAGATGCCTGGCGTGTCAATTATGCTGATACTCTCAAGGATCTGATTTGGCATCTGAACACACTGAAACCTGTAAATGTGATGCATTTCAGGATTACTTGATTCATTTATAGGAATAATGGCAAAGCATAATCCTATCAATACATTATACAAACAGGAATTCTCCTCTGTGAACGCTCATCACCTGTTCAGAAACGAATTTCCAAAAGGGTCGAGGTTGCGAAAGGGCTTTTTCGGGTCCATCGTGAGGGCATTCCCAGGGATGATTCCCTCGACTTCTCCATACATGAGGGCAGTGAAGCAGTCAGTGGTTGGCTCTGGCCCAACTCTGCTACCAAGAAAATCTTGCTCTATGAGATACCTTGAGACACACATGGTGCAAACCAGCACTGTTATCTCCCTTTGTTTAAAACATGGCAAGTTAATGCATGCAGATCGTTTTTTCCCTTTTTCTTTTTAATGATCCAAGTCCTGAGCTTACCTGATAAAAGTAGTCTTTCCTGTTGAGTACTGACCCATCACCAGCACCATCGGTTTGTTGTCAAAGTCTGCGTCCTCATAGCTTGGTGAGTGAAAGTGATGGAAAGAATAGTATTTTTCTACTGGCAGCAGCCGCTTGTAATAAAGATTCTTCAGCTCCTCTGTCACCATGTTGACGTCCCCCATTGCTTTCGGGGTGCTCCAAAGCCTCCGGAAGGACATGGCGACAGCAGTTTTACTCTTAATTTCTCAGTGTGGAAGCTGCTCGCTCTTCTTAGACCCAACTAAATGATGGAAGAATGTGCACAAGGCATATTATCAGATTCTCACAGCTGTCTGCTTCATCCTGCAGCGGGACATTAGAGAGGGTGGAGAGGGTGTAACTGGAGCCTGCAGCTGCACCTAACATAAAGCCAATATCGAGAGGGACAGGGTGGAGTGCAGCTCAGCTTTTGTTGCTGTGTGGGGACAGTTTTGGCAAGATTCACCCACAGGGATGTAACAATTGTCAGACTTAAAGGTCATGCACAAAACTTAAATCTGTTTATTAAATGCGTTTATATACAAGCAGAAATTAAAGTACTTGCAAAAACAGTCAGAGGAGTCAAAGTTCAATAAATCAGGAGAAACAGGAGGCAGCAGTCACATGACTTCAGCCAGCAGAAATCTATCGTTGTCATAACATGGTGACTGGGTGTGTTTGTTTGGCTCATTTTTAAGTGCATTTCGATAGCAAAGAATGTTTAATTTCAATATATTTTCCTTTTTTCCATGAAATTGTGACCAGCTAAACTTTAGACAACAGAAGGTGAAGTTGGTTTAGTGCAGCATTTCTGCAGCTATCAACAGTTATATAAGTGTCTAATGAACGGATTTTGCGTAGTATTACTCAAACACAAGAGGATAATCTAACCTTCTACTTCCATACTATCAGCCTTTTTCTGTCTGTTTTTAAAACCTCTCAGCTTGTCCCAGGTGGACGCACGGAGCGGGCTGTTCCAAGGAGTGCGACTGTGTTCAAGAACATTCCACCGCCTGTGACCCCAAAACGGGAAGCTGTTTCTGCAAGGCTGCGTATCACGGCCCACGATGTGAACAAGGTATAAAAAGCACGTTCATTCCTTGACAGGAATGAAGTGGTTAAGATCTGTGTTTGGTTACATTTTCAGGCCAAATGCTGAACATAGAAGAGGGCGTTTTACTTTCTCAGCTGTTTTAAAGGTTCTAAACATGAACAAATATGTTTCCAGTTGCAGTAATGCATCTCTAATGTGAGCTACAAAGGGAAGTCTTGCTGTTTCCTTGCAGTACAGTTTTAGTATAATAGTGTGTAGAAGAAGAAGAGTTTAGGAGGTTGTCGGTGGTCTTTAACAGTCAAGCTTCTACTCGATGAAGGTATCCAAGATATTTGGTTAGAGACTGCACACCATCTTAATCTTTTATGCATCCGCGTGTCTCATTGTAGAATGCGATCCAGGCTTTTTCGGGCCCGGCTGTGAGCAGCCATGTGACTGTCCAGGTGGAGGGTCATGTGACCCCAAGACTGGAGAGTGCAGCCAGCAATGTCCTGCAGGGCTTCACGGACATAACTGTCAACTGGGTAAGCAAAAAAAAAGAAAGATTTAAAGCACTTTGTAAAAGCCAATGTAAGAGCACATGTTCAGTTATTTTGATGTCTAACGTATGCAGTGCAGTTATTTTCAGATGTTTGGCTCGCATTAATAATATCACTCGTTCCTTTTAACCTCTGCAAACGCAGTGTTCTCCACAGAGCTCGATTCCACAGTGCACTCATGTGGTCACAGCTTTTATAGTGAAAGACCGCACAGTGTAATAATGTGTGTGAATTTGTGAACTGCGTGGGCCGGCATACTGACACGTGTCAGCACGCATGCTTATAGTTTGCATAGTTGTTGCTTGTGCAACTGTGTGCCTTTTTCAAAGCAGCGCATTTTGTTATGTGTTTGCTCAGCTTTGTCACATTTTTAATTTCCCGCAAAGCATACAGATCTTTCTTTACTCCTCTATCCTCGCCTCCTTCTTCTATTCATCATTTGATAGCTTTGACTGATTACGTGGATGTAGTAGGTGAAATGCATCTATGAATTCACCTGGTGAGTGCAGGTGTTCTTGTTGTTGCAAACTACACAACTAGAAAGTAGGGTTCCTGTACAGCAGGGTGCCCTCTGGCTGTTTACTCTGCTGGTTGATGGAAAGTTCAACCCTCTGTGCTGTGCTCTAGAGTGATGCTGAATATTGCTCAGGAGCCTCTGGTAAAAACATCACTTTATGTCTCTGGGGAGCGGACTAAGATAACAGAGTTACCATGTGTCAGGACTAGTGCACAGTCCAAGCCTAGGCGTGCTGGGTTTGCAACCCAAATAAAAGGTTTTTTTCGTTTTTCTCTAGGTTGTCCATAGCTTAAGTTGCAGGCCAGGTCATGACAGGGGCGATTTAATTCAGTTATTACAGCAGGAGCTTTTGGCAGAGGCTGAATAAATAAGCATCAAGTGATTATGATTTCAACATTTTCACTTGTCCAGCTGCCTCTCTTAATAATTTTTTTCACTGTTGTGTAACCCAGTCTTTTATTTTTTCTCCTGTTACATCATGTCTGTTGTGTATTTTGTGTTGCTAGCCTGCCAAGCTGGAAGCTATGGAGAGAACTGTCTTCTGACCTGTGATTGCAGTGGAGCTCCTTGTGATCCCATAACTGGACAATGCATCTGTCCTGATGGAAAGATGGGACACTCGTGTCAGGAAGGTATTCATTATAAAATTAAAAATTAATTTTTGCCTTATATACTGGGTTTCCATGTTATGTTTGGACATTTTTAAATAAATCACTGCACCTAACAAGCTTGTAAGTCAATATCTTTTATGACGAACTTTAAACAACATGAACTCCCTTAGTCAATATTTCTTTTAGTTTCTTTAAGCAGGCTTCAGGAATAGTTCTCCAGGCTTCTTGAAGGACATTCAAAGCTGTTGGCTGACTTTTGTTCTGTTCTCTGTCAAGATGATCCCACACTGCTTCAGTAATGTAGAGGTCTGGGCTCTGCGGAGGCCAGTCCATAACTGATAGTGATCCATTGTGTTATTTTTCCATATAGGTATATTTTTTATTGATTTACCAGTGTGTTTGGAATCGTTGTATGATTGTACTTTTCAGATGATCTTACATAGTGGATCAAAATCTCATGTTTTCATAACTCCATCACTTTTTACAAGATCCCCGACCTCCCTCGTACATATAAACAATAATTTGGACCAAAAATGTCAAATTTGGATTCATTATTCCTGACCTGTTGCCACTGATTTTCAGTGTGGGTCTTGTGTAGTTTGGCATAACTCAGCCTTTTTCTCCCTGTTTTTTTCTTCCATAAGAATGATTTCTTGACTGCCGTCCTCACACTGACACCATTTTTGATGAGGCTTCAGTGATCAGTAGCTTGTTCATCTGAAGAGTCAGATGGATCTTTGGGTTCCTGTGTCAGATGTTTGTTGGATTTTTTTCCTGTTTCTTAAGGACAACTTTCAATTACTGCTCTGAAGTATCATTTTAGGACTCCCACTTCTTCTGCTCACCATGACGATATGGGAAAGGTTTCAGATTCTTGGAGTTACCTCTGTTGGTGTAAAAATACCCTTTTTATTCCTTTCAAACTGTGTTGTCTTTGGCATTTTGTGTAAACTGGTTCATCTCAGGACTGGACTGAAAACGAGCCAAAAAGTAGTCAATGACCAAAGAAAAGCTTTGAGAGACCTACAAAAAGTCTTGAGCACTTTTGCTCAGGATGACTTTGGCTCAAAACTGCACTTTACTACAATTTCTACAATATTTGAATGTGTATTAAATCTGAGAAGTTAAAAACATAAATACTGCGTACTGCTCTATCAAAGTGAAAGGTACTTGCTGTTTCCCAGACTGCCCTGATGGATTCTGGGGGTCAAAGTGCCAGTCTTCTTGTCCTGAGTGTCAGAACAGAGGCTCGTGCAACAAGCAGACCGGTACATGTGAGTGTGAGCCAGGATTCATGGGACAGCTCTGCCAAAACAGTGAGTTTGCATGAAATTTCTGAGATTAAAAAAAAAAAAAAAAATCATTTAATAAACCAAATGTGTAAGCTGTAGCTGACCTTAATGCTGATGATAATATATTTAATGAGGCATACAACATTTTTTTTTACTTATTCAACCTCAAATTTTAAAAAACAAAAACAAAAAATGATGATGTCACATTTGGATTTTGAAATTACTGTAATCTCCTCGACTTGCTTGAACACTTTAATTAAATTTAATTATAGAAAGTTCATGACAGAATCAGTTTTCTGATTAATCACCTGTGTTGTGTAGGGTGTCCTGCTGGGTACCATGGACCAGGCTGTCTAACACCTTGCTCTTGCCACCCTGATGCCAGTTGTGACCCACAGACTGGGAAATGCATTTGCCCTCCTGGAAAAAGAGGCCACGATTGTGCAACATGTGAGAATGTAAACAAATGAGACAAAAATAAGAGAATCTGACAGAGTAGCAGAGAAAATAACTCACCCTTCACTGTAATGTTTGCAGTATGTGATCCTGGTTTCTGGGGACAAGGGTGCACCAGTTCTTGTCAGTGCCACGAACAGTCTCTGGGCTGTGACCCAGTCAGTGGTCAGTGTGCGTGTGAGGCCGGCTACACAGGAGACCGATGTGAAAAGAGTAAGTTATTGCCTTAGCTACTAAATCATTTTGTATCATTTTGTATATTTTACTAAATGCTGCCACCTTGGGGCCATTTCAGTTACAGCACCACAGTCAGTATTTTTTTTGATTTTATGTTTAACAAGCACAATACAGTTTAAATGTTTTATTTGATCCTGATACTGTATAACTGTAGATTTTACATGTTATATAAATCTCTGTTTAAAATGATAGATGGAGACACATGTGGGGAGTCTTCTGGGGTTTTTTTTGGATTGGAATTTTTTTTAGTTGGACAGTCAAGAGACTGTGTAATGTGCATGCTCCAATTCACAGAGTGTATGAATGGCACTTATGGTCGGGGCTGTGCCCAGCTGTGCCAGTGTGAGAATGGAGCCCTCTGTGACCATGTGAGCGGAGCCTGTACATGCTCTCCTGGATATACGGGCACCTTCTGTGAGAAAAGTAAGCCATGTGTTGTCTCTGATGTTATTTCTAATCTTATGTCTTTACATAAATATATATTGTGTTCCTAATATGCCTGTTTTATGTAGCCCCAACCTTGCTACAGCCTTAAAAATCTCAAAAATGTTATTAAATCACTTGTACAACTTTTTTTGGTATACTGGCTTTAGAGTGAAAGTTTGATTTAAGGAACTTTCAATTGCATTATTAGACACAAATGTGGCTATAATTGTATCTTTATATGTACTTTAAGCTATTAACAGTGATTTTGGTTCCTTCTCACTTCAAGAATAAACCCTTAGGATCTTTTTTTTTCCTTAAACCTAATTCCAGAAGTAATCCACGTTTTGAGCTTGCAGCTGCATGTGAACAAAACTTAGTCCATCCCTGAGAAGAAATGAAAGCCTTTGCAATTCCGGTACTCTGGATAACCATGCAACATTATTCACTATTGACTCCAAAATATGTCTGTGGCAGTCCCGTCATAAGCGGATGTCTCATTTTAATAGAATGCCATGTCGATCCTCTTTAGCTAAGCAAAGTAATTTAAATGTTTCCCTGCAAACTTGAACTGATCAAATCATGGATAAACACACTCCTTTGATTTTGTTCGTTTTCAGCTCATCCCTCCGGTGGACTGTTGTGTTTATGAGATTATGATGCATCTATCCATCCATCTATGCACTACATTGCACAATTCGTCAGAATTTAGTGAACCTTGCACACAATGATCACCTACTGAGTTTTTGCCTAAATCATGCTCAAGGTCAAGTTTTATGGGAACTTTTTAGTTTTCACAAGAATCACTTCTTTAGTGAAACCAGATTTGTGTGTCCCATGTATGACTGTCTGCAAATTCTCTTTATTTTTATAATAGCTGACCAGTCTCAACAAAAAACATACACAAAGCAATACCATGTGATGGGTCACATGGTGAGCTCATGACATCACTGAATATATCACTTTCTCTTTCTTGAGGATTTAATGTTTTTCTTTGCTTTATTTGACATAATATCAGCATATATTAGCTTGAGCAAGAGGAAGTTGCAGTCAGTTATTTTTACCATTAATAAATTATTTTAAAAAGCCCCAAATCACTACCAATATAGTTTGGCCAATCATTTTTTATCACAAATGTAAATGTTTTGCAAAATGTAATTCCTGATTCTAGTTTGATGTAAGATTATGGCATTAACACGTTGCGTCTTTAAAACGGTCCACACTGAATGCTCCGCTCCATTCCTGCTGACATTTTTATTTTTCATCACTAGAGGGTGTTGCAGGACATTCTTCAATCTTTTCTCCAACTTCAGTGAAGCGTCCGCCAAATCCCGCGACTCGTCCCGCTGTCCTTATAATATCATGAGCGAACCATTTCAGAATTCCAAGATATAATTTGTATCAGCATCCTGCCATAGCAAACCTTTCACATAACAAATATTCACCTGTATTTGTCCTGAACTACAAGACGTAACGACAGTCTGAGAGTTTTAACGATGTAATAGAGTTGTTTTGACTTGAAGTGGCCTCCTGTTATTACAAAGCAAAAGATTTACTGTGACTGTACTACTAGTTCCAGAAATTCATAGCGCCTCCCTAGTACACAGGGCATTGTAAATCACAGCCATGCCACACCAGAGGAGAGCTTCACATCCCTAGTCATAACAGGTTAATGGCTGCAGTCTGATTGGACGTTGCTGTGGAAATGGAGCTATCACTCTGACTAGATTTTAGTTTCTGAAGGCCCATTCCCCTCAAACAAAGGTGTCCAGTTTCTCAGTGTTCTAATGAGCCTCTTCCTTCAGGAAAAGCCAGGCCTTGGCTTGACAACATAAAGACCTCTTTACTTGATCGGTTTCAAAGAATTAAAGGGAACAAAATGACTTCTCATTAGAACTTAGATCTTGTTATTCACAAAAGTAGTTGGCTCCACAAGATTCAGATAGCTTGATAAGGCCAAAGGCCTTGTTGTGTTCAGCATTCTTGTGGTACTGAGGTTGATGCTAAGCATTCCCATCAAGTATTATTGGAGGAAAGAGGCCTGACATGCATCCAGCACACAGCTTCTTCAATTAAAGCCGATCATGCCGCGCTTCTGGTCCGCAGCTTTGATGTCTGCATCAAAAAAACAAAAACAAAACAGAGTTCATTTTGTTGCAGTAAAAAAGAACTGTGGTCTGAGGAGCATTGAACATCCGTGTTCTTGTTGAAGAAACCGGGCCGTTTTGTTGTTGCAGCATTGACCTCTTTCAGTGTACGCAGACCCTGAATAGAACCAGGAAGTTCTATTCTGAGTTCTCTCTATCCGCTCTATTTCTGTGGTCTGCTCTCCCTGGCTGTGTGGTCCCTGGACCTGCTTTATGGGCTGACAGCAGTGGCTCTTACACAACCGGGGATCTGGAAATAATCCTTCTGTCTTAAAGAGCTCATTTAGTCTCGAGATGGAGTCTTTCAATGATGGCACACAGTATGTGTGTGAGTTTGTGTGTGATGGTGGACCGAATCCTGTGTTCCTACCTATAAACAAAGACTCAGAGGGAAGACTCTGCATTTACAAACACTAGCAGACACTGGGCTCATATCAAATGACAGATTGCAGCTCTGTGGTTAATATGGAAACCAGTCGCCCCCTACTGGTGTATACAAATACAAAGTTTGTCATTCAAAATTGCGCAACTGCCTAAAGACTTAAAATGAAGTGCGCGCGCTGCTGTAAACTTTGTCCGCTGAAAAGGAGAGTAATTGCTACATCTGTTGATGCGCTTATTGTTCCTCTTATTAAAAGGGAACATGACTCATCTGAGATGCTTTCTGTTTATATTTTAGCAGCAGAGATGTGTTGAGGTGCTCACGATATATCAAAGTAATGGCACTAAGGCATTTTTTCCTGCAGGACAAGCAATGCCAGCTTGTTGCCATGGTGTCAGCAAACGCTATGATAATAATAAACAGCAGACAATAAACCGACGATTTTGCTACCACAGAGTTAATGTACAGCTGCATTAAAATGACAGCATCCTCAGTGGGCTAGCTTTAATAACATCACAGCCTAACCACTACAGAGAGAGTCAAAGACGTCATGCTGTCAGCGTGGGAACACAACGACGGCCATGCCAGAAACTGCTGAGCAGCAAAGATACTTTTTTCCCAATTTGAGGCCTTGAGGCAGAAAAAAAGGAGGAGTGGACACCGTCATCAATTTGAGCGAGAGCAGGAGGGTATGATGCATTAACCGTAGGGGAACACCCTGACTAATGCGGCATTTATAATACATGAAACCACCAAGTTACACATTTTTGCCAATTTGTGGCTTCCTTTGGTCACGTTGCGCTCTGCTTTCCTTATTCACAGAAGAAGTAGTATATAAACGGAATGAAAGAGCTGCTGGCTGCTGAGATAATTTGGACAGACTCTATGCAAACCATTTCTCGCACACTGCTGCAACAGGAAACAGAAGAGGGTACTCGAAGAGAGAAATGTCAGTCAGTCCATGCTTTGGCGGGGAAATAGCAGCGTTCCCATAAATAAAGACCCGTGTGGGTGAAGTTTTTGTTTTGCAGGATACGACTATCATCCGAGTTTGCCTGTGATCTCCACGGTGACAAATTGACCGATCAAAAATATAGGCCGTGAATAAACAGAGTCATTCTTTCCTGCTCTAGTGAAGTCATGCTTACAGATAATATTTACATCCAAGCAGTGGAAAGGCTCATTCATCCCGCAACCTCTGGCTAGGTTCCTCTGGATGGGGAGGCACTGTGTTTACCAAACTCTGTGAGTGTCACTTGACTATACACACACACTCGAGCGATTTCTCTAACTTTCCTTGAGAATGGGAAACAGACCTTAAACTGGCATCGCCTTGCATCTGCAGCAGCACTGTCGTGTGTGTGTATGTGTGTGGGTACAGTAACACCAGGCTTTGTTTTGTCGAGTGTTGGTGGGGCCTGTGGACTCAGCAGGTGCTCTATTTACTGGCTCTTTGTGCCCTCTCTAACCCCCCCCCCCTCCCTCCCAGAGGGAACGGCCTCCGAGCCGCCATAAACTTTTGATGTGGCCCAGATCCACCACACATGTGGGACATGAGCTCACTTAACGAACGCAGACGCTTTGCAACAGCCGCAGTGTGGTACTGCAATTTGATATTGGTATTTTCAGTAGGACAGAGAGAGAAAGTAGGAAGAAGGGGAACAGAGTGAGAGTGGGAAAGGAAAAAAAAAGAACTAAATAAAAAAATATTGGCATCTAAACCTTATCCTCTCCTCTTTTTTCTGAAGCTGCCAGTTCTAACCAGTCGGATGTTTTATCTCGGCCCACAGTGTGCCCGGACGGCTTTTACGGTCTTGACTGTGGCCAGATGTGCGAGTGCAGGAACGGTGCCCGTTGCCACCACATCACAGGAGCCTGCCTGTGCACCGCCGGCTGGGCAGGACCACACTGCATTCTGGGTAATGGAAGCCACATCATTAAAACAGGGTGTGAGGGAGGCCCTCACTGCAGCCCATCACGACATCCTCTCCTTAAACTCAGCTATGAAGTGTTTGTGAACAATTATCTCTATAATGAGACATTGCCAATGACTTTTTTAGGGATGGGTAAGGGTGGAGAAAGGAGGGAGCGCAAGAGTGCCCTCTGGCATACATGGTTTAATTGAAGTCTATTCTGGATAAATGCACCCACATGTATATAGCGATCAACATTAGGAAAGGGAGAGCTCAACTTGGAAGAGACTTTAGCAGCTAACCAGTGTTCTCAGGCTGAAGTTTCTTGAGGATTTCATGCCATTGTTTTAATGAAGCCAGTGAAATACCCACTAAAGTCCTTAGTCTGTCATTCTGCAGTCTTATTCAAGACTTTCCTCTCGCCCACAGCCATTTTGTGGTTCTAACTACCAGAACCAGAGTGAGCAGAAAGCCACGAGCATGACTTAATCATGCACCTCTGTCATTATTGCATTTTCCTCTTTCTTAAACCCCAAATGCCATCTTGGACTTTGATTATTACTGCGTTTACAATATGGGTGCTAAAAACCATAATGTCTCAAATGACCAATTAGCTCTCACGTCTGTTTTCTAGGAATGCAACTTGAATATTATTGAATGTGTGTGTGTGCCTGCATGTGTGTGGCAGAATGCCCAGAGGGTCAGTTTGGAGAGCAATGCAGTCAGACCTGTGAGTGTCAGAACGGAGGCCAGTGTAACCATGTGACTGGGAGATGCAGCTGCACAGCTGGGTGGACCGGAGATAGGTGCCAACTGCGTGAGTGGCTCATCAGTTAAACTGCTAATTACTGAGCATGATGAAGTCAAAGAAGTCTATTTTTCAAACCACTGTGCTGTGTTGTAGAACTTTTTGGCAGTGTAAATATCAGTCAGCAGACTCTGAAAACCGGCGTTAGTCATGTTATCTATCTCGGGAATCTCTTGGCGCAGTTACTGCACTTGCAGAAATGAACTCATGATATAAGAAAGGCTAGAAAAATATAATAGAACGTTTGCAGTCAAAACTCAAATGCTTATACTATGTTGTGTGTATTCAGCCTGTCCTGCAGGACGATATGGAGAGCACTGTTCAAGTCAATGTCTGTGTCAAAATGGAGGGACTTGTAACAGGATCAGTGGCCGGTGCTCCTGCCCACTGGGATGGACTGGAGCAGCTTGTGAACTGGGTGAGTCTGACAGTACTACGGATTAAACTGTGTTGTTTACAACTTTTCAGCTGCCAGTTAATGCAAATATCTAATCAGCCAATCACATGGCAGTAACTCATTCCATTTAAGGATGTAGACATGGTGAAGACCACCTGCTAAAGTTCAAACTGAGCATCAGAATGGAGATGAAAGGTTTAAGCAGCGTTAAACGTGGTTGTGGGTGCCAGATGGGCTGGTTTGAGAATTTCAGAATCTCCTGATCTGCTGGGATTTTCCCACACAACCATCTCTATTGTTTACAGAGAAAGGCAAGAAAAAGAGACAATATCCAATGAGAGGCAGTTGTCTGGGAGAAAATGTCTTGCTGATTTTAAAGGTCAGAGGAGAAGGGCCAGACCACTTCAAGCTGACAGGAACGCAACATTAACTCAAGTAACCACTCATTATAACCAAGGAAGGCAGGAGAGCATCTCTGAACAAACAACACATCAAACCTTGAAGCAGATGCACTCCAGTAATAATAATGGATTGCATTTATACAGCGCTTTTCGGGGCCCTCAAAGCACTTTACAATTCCACTATTCATTCACTCTCACACACTGGTGGAGGCAAGCTACAGTTGTAGCCACAGCTGCCCTGGAGCAGACTGACAGAAGCAAGGCTGCCAGGTCGCACCATCGGCCCCTCTGGTCATCACCAATAGGGTGTCTTGCCCAAGGACACAACGACCGAGACTGTCCGAGCCAGCTCGAACCGGCAACCTTCCCATTACAAGACGAACTGCCAACTCTTGAGCCACGATCGCCCAGTAGCAGAAGAGCACACCAGGTCTTCTGCTACTGGGCGCCAGGTGTGACAAGCTACAAAACAGTAAAGTGAAGTTACAGTTCACTAAGGTTAACCAGAATTAGAAACTGAATATTTGAAAAACTATGATGGACCTTGATTTCTGCTGCAACATTCAAATAGGACATTGTATCACCTTGTATCAGCAGTTCAGGCTGGTGTTGTTGGGATACTTTATTGGTCCCTTCGTACCAACTGAGCATTGTTTAAACACCACAGCCTTCAATGCTTTCATTCCCTTTGTGACCAGTTTGTGTACTTTCTGATGTCTTCTTCCACAGCAGGAGAAAGTGCCATATCACAAAACTCCATCATCTCAAACTGGTTTCTTGAACATGACAGTGAGTTCACTGTACTCAAATGACCTCCCCAGTCACTGGATCTCAATCCAACAGAGTACCTTTGGGATGTGGAACAGGACATTGACATCATGGATGTGCAGCTGACAAATCTGCAGCAACTGTGTCATGTCAGTGTGGATCACAATCTCTGAGGAATGTTTCCAGCAACTTATTGAATCTATGTGGTGAAACAGGCAGTTCTGTAGGCAACCGGAAAGTCCAACTCACTGCTCAAAAGGTGTATGTAATAGGGGGATAGTGAATGCACATTGTAGGGAAGCTAAGAGAAACAAAACTTTTTTTCTTGATTAAATATTTTGTCTTTCTGTCCCTGTCTTCATTATTTGGTGCCTTGGAAAAGCCATGTTGTATTTGTGTGATAAATTATTACTTGAATGTAACTTTTCTCTTAACCTTCCTTTCCATCTGTCCCAGAGTGTGAAGAAGGACGTTATGGAAAGAACTGCACCGAGGTCTGCCGCTGTATGAATGGAGGGAGATGCGACAGAGTGACAGGAAAATGTGTGTGTCTCCATGGTTGGACAGGAGACCTCTGCCAGTCAGGTGAGTTCCTATATTTACAGCATAGTTGTTTTATCATAATCTAGTACCTGCTGATGCGGGGTTTTTTTCAAAGACACATAAAATTGTAGCCTGTCTCTCAACATCATGAGAGACAGGCATGCCCCTGTGCTCCATTTGCTAACATTTGGATATCAGCAGCAGAAAGGTTTGTTTACTCCAGGAAAAGAAGCCAATAGCTTATAACATGGTATGTCAAAACAGTTTGTGCAGTTAGCCTTCCAAGCATATAAAAGGTAAACATCTTCTAAAAGTGCATCCTTGGCTGCGATGTTGCATGCTAACCGCAAGCGCTTGTGTTTTTTGTCTGAAGCCTGTTCTAAGGGATTCTTCGGGGAGGGTTGTGAGCAGAGGTGTGACTGTGCCCATAGTTCGAGTTGCCACCATGTGACAGGCCGCTGTGAGTGCGTGCCAGGCTGGAGAGGAGCCAGGTGTGACAAATGTGAGTGCGTACAGGACTGAGGAAATTGCGGCTGAATGAAACTGGCACTAAAGAACATAAGAGTGAAGTGACTGTGTGTGTGATGTGTGTATTGACTGACAGCCTGCCTCCCGGGGTTCTACGGTGCTTCCTGTGCCCAGCGGTGTCAGTGCCAGGCTGGAGTGTCCTGTCACCATGAGACGGGGAGCTGTGGCTGCCCAGCTGGACTCACAGGGGCTGGCTGCGAGAAAAGTAAGAAGGAAAACAAAACCTGTCTGAATGAATTCTAATCATGAGGTGATTAGTGGCTTGCTTGCTCAATTTTTAGATCTTAAATATCCACAGACTTTCACTAATGTCCTTTACCTGTAACAGGTAGTCAGGAGAGTATACCTACATGGCTTACATTTGAGGCCATTTAGCTACCTTGTTGATAAAAACACTGTCGCCTTGAAACAAACCAATTGTGTGCTTGTGAGAATGTTTCATTACGGTATTCAAACCGTACCCTTAAGGAGTGTATATAAGCAGCGTCCCTCCTCAGCCCTTCACCGCGCCTTCTACTCACCCACCCTCCTCCCCTTCCTTACGGCCTGAGCTCCGTTCCTCTCCTCACACACTCCCCAGACATCTGATAAATGTTACACACCGGTTGCCAAGTAAAACAGAAGGCATTGTTTTTGTCTCCTCGGCGGCGGATAAGGGCTTTTGGAAGGCAGACATGCATAATGACAGCACCGTAATTGCCTCTTTAGTCTGGAGTCCTTTCTTATCTGTCCCCCACGCTGCCTGCTGCTGCCTGACTGAGTAGCTTAGTGCTGCGGTCTCACCCGAAAACATGCTCGGTTCACAGATTCATCTTGTTCCCTATGACTGATTGTCTGGGGACTTCATTCATTATTGTGATGAGCGCATATGTATGTATGCAGACAGGGTGTGTGAAAGAATGTCCCTCTGTGTTTGCCTGGGTTTGGGCACCAGGGAAAGTTGCTGCGAGTTTTGGTGTCATTAGCAGTCAATACTGAATGTCCCAGTATGTTCGCAGGATAATCTGAGGAAGGAAAGGGAAACGGCATGCGTCTTTGTTCCCACATACTATTGAATGTGTGCATAAAGGCCTTATCTGCTGCTGTATCACCAGCACTATGGATATCTGCACAATGTTTCTTTTCGGGTGTGCAATGCCCATCAGGGATAACAATGAAAAATTAAGACTGCATTTGAGGCTCATTCCTTTTGATTTTTATTTATTTTATTTATATCCAGAAATATGTATCTTCTTTTAACAAAGCTTTAATTAACACACACGTTTTAGGCTATAAATTAACAATAGGATTTTCAAAAGCTTACTAATTAACATGCTTTTAAACTGCACTGCAGCCCCAAACGTCTTTAGATATTACCAATGGTAGGTTCAGGTCAGAAGGCAAATACCCGACACAGCTACCTGTAAGCACCCCTACACAAAGTTCATTTTAGGTCTTTTTACACTGATTCACAACCTGCTGCGCACTCTTCTTCAGGCAGCACTCATTCCTAAATCAGTATCAGTATTTCCATTGGTGAGAACACAGCCGACTCAACCCAGCTCAATCTCTGTGCTCCATTTGACGCTTGGAGAGCTTCAGACAAACAAAAAATCTGAATATATATTTACACACAAACATATATATATTATAAAGATATTAAATTATAAGCACAATACAATACCACTGTCTTTGATCCAGGCATGAGAGGTTAGTTGTTCAGCTGACCTGTGCATCGAAGATTTATCATTCACCTTTGAACAAAGAAGGTAAATGATCCCAAAAATTGCTTCTTACATTCTTCTGTTGTGCTGATGTGCGTGATGTGCTGCCGGTTTGATCATTTTAGCCTGCCCTGCTGGAGTGTTCGGACAAAACTGCACCAAGTTGTGCCAGTGTTCAGGAGACCAAGAGCAGTGCCATCCGGTGACGGGGAAATGTAGCTGCTTGCCCGGTTATTATGGGCCGCGATGTGGGCTAAGTAAGTATACTGTTAATCTTCTGTTGCAACCACTGGCTAATAAGACGCACCTGCTATTATCCATTTATTTATTTAGTTTTTAATAAAACAGGAAGTCTAATGAAATAACTATTGCTGCGGAGTACATATTTGGCTACACTTTAGATTTGCATGACTCAATGATATGTTTAATTTAAGCTAGTAATAGTTTTGTGTGTCTGGTTTTTCTGTAGGATGTAGAGCGGGGACTTTTGGGCCGAACTGCAAGTCCAGGTGCAGCTGCATCAATGGTGGTCGCTGTGACTTCAGGACTGGTTCCTGCTACTGTCCTCCTGGCTTCATAGGCAGCGACTGCAGCTCAAGTAAGTCAAGAAAGCTTGAATGTCCTTGTCCTCTAATAAAAGTCATATTTGCGAGTCATATTTCTGCCTACTTATACTTATAGCTTGATTAGAGTCACAGTCTTTCTTTTACCCTGTCACCTTCCCCTCACTCCCAACCAGTTGCGGCAGATGCGGCTGCCCTACCTGAGCCTTGTTCTACTGGGGGGGTTTTCCTGCTACAAGGGAGTTTTTCCTTCCCACTGTCACCAAGTGACAAACCTTGATTTTCTCTGCACTATTGTAGGGTCTTTATCTTACAATATAAAATGCCTTGAGGTCAATGTTGTTTTGATTCAGTCCTATATAAATAAAATTGAATCTAACTGGATTGATTTAGAGACTTTTTCGATACAACCATTCTTTATGTTGCGTTACAAAATTCTGGTCGACATCAACTGAAGTAATGCAGATGCCTGTAAAATTAATACATGCATAGCTTTTAATTTGTTCTTTCATATGGATGAAAGCATATCTATTCATGCAGGTTGTCCAAGTGGATACTATGGGAAAGACTGTGCTAAGATGTGCACGTGTGGGGAAGGAGGACAGTGTCACCCAGTAACCGGGAGGTGTATCTGTGGCCCTGGTAGGATGGGATTGTCCTGCGAGCAAGGTAACGTTAAACCGAGGATGTTTATTTGCAGTATATTAGTGCAAAATTATATATTTGCAGAATTTTAGATGCAAAGTGGCAAGAACAGTGCTGCACATCAGAGAATGATATTCAAAGAACTACAAGAGTAGTTTCAAGACTGACTCTAAACAGGATGCATACTGGCACATTTAACATTTTGCAGCAGCTTTAAAGTGTCACCTCGCTGTTCAACTTTAAGCAGAACCATATCACACATATCAAACAGGCTTTATATTTAGACATTTTTCTTTTACAATCCTCTCGAGTTTACAGAGAGTCACCACTGAGACTGCCATGCATCATTAGGAACCACTGGCTCTAATGAGTTCTTTAGAAACAGGACACTTAACTAGAAATGAGAAACAACCACTAAAATGAGGGTGTAGTTTTCAACATTTTCCCTGTGTATTTAAGTTACAAATTCTCCATTTCCTCAGTGTAAGCGCTGCAATGATCACAGGGCTTTTATTCCCACTAAACAGAGGCAGAGCTGAGTTTTCTTAATCTCTCCTTTTATCAGCAATTCAGCTGGATTGCAAACGGGGAATTTCCAGCGCTGCCTGCACTAAATGTTCTCGTCTTCAGCCTCCTGCATGTACTTGGACATACCACCTCTTAAGTTCCTCTTGTTGAATGTTTACATAAACCTAAAGTGGCTCATTCTCTGTGTTCCGTGTCGCTGGATTTGGCAAGGAAGCAAATAAATAAACAGGGGAATCAAAGACGGCTTGCTTATTGTTTTCCCAATCTAAATTACCCAGAGAAACATGATTATTCTTTTATATCAGCGCCAAATTAGGCTACTTTGCCATCTCTTTAGAAACTGTTGCTTAAATAAACACGAGCGTGGTTAGTGCAGTCGCGTTTGTGTGTGTGTGCGCGCGCGCGTGTGTGAAAGAGACAAGGGAAAGCGCGAGCTGTGCACTGTGTGTGTTTTATGTTTGGTGCAACTACTAGTGCTTTTGCTGAACAGAAGAGTTCTAGTGTATTATGATGTTTCCTGAAAATTGTTTCTCCAGTGTGTCCCAGGGGGCGCTATGGCATGCAGTGCAGAAACGCTTGCAGCTGTCGGAACGGGGCTTTGTGTGACCCCAGTGATGGGTCCTGCAAGTGCGGCCTCGGCTGGACTGGACCCCGCTGTGAGACAGGTACTCCAAATATTCCACAATAAAAAAAATCCTAAACTCACCAGAATTTGATTAAAAGTCAACAACAAACTCTATATTGCAGTAGTTTGCAGTAGTTTCCCCATTATTAGCTACATGATGGACTTCAGTCTGCATTTATGAAGAAGACATTTTCCCCAGTTTTAATGGTTTCAGTGTTTAAAGTTTGATGCACACATTTTTTACTTTTTTACTCCAATAATCATCACTCAGGCTTATATGTCACATTTCTTTCTAGTGTTATCAACCCATTGTGTGTGTCTGTGTGTGTAGCCTGTCCACAGGGTAAATATGGGCTTGATTGTGCACAAGACTGTCCATGCCTTAACAATGGGACCTGCGACCGCTTCACTGGCAGCTGCAGCTGTACTGCAGGATACTACGGCCACTCCTGTCAACACAGTATGCAAACCCTCACTCGAAATAAAGAAAAGAAAACTTGGTTATAAGGTTACTAGAAGTCCCGTTGACATTATGAAATGTAGATCTTTTTCAAACTCCCCTGGTCACATAGAAGACTGAATGAATCCAGATAAAACACCTTTTTAACCAACCTAAATCCTCTGTCTTGTGTTCCTCCCAGCGTGCCCATCTGGGTTTTTTGGAGTGAATTGCGCACACACCTGCGTTTGTAAGGTGCTGCAAGCGTGCGATCCTGTGACAGGCAAATGTGCGTGTCCACCGGGCTACCATGGCTCACAGTGCCAAAGACGTAAGTATGTTACATGCAACTACACGGGAGTAAAGGTTAAACGAGTAACAAAGAGGGATATTTGTAATTCAGCATGTCTGCGAAGACTTAAAACACAGCAGTGCTCACAGTCACATGTTTGTGCTCATTGTTAAATGGCCACCTGGATAGCCAGCTGCGAGTGTACATGGGGAGATATGAGCATGAATGAATGAGAGACTTCCAGCAAAATGTGAGTGTGTGGTGGCTGGCAGACAGGCTGTTAGATAGGTGGGCAGGCAGGCTGGTTATTTGATGAGAGACGGGTGTTTCCCTACTGCTTAATGCATTCTTGTTACATCCTCATGCCCTCCTGCAAGCTCGTGGGGCTCTCAGCCCCAGTTTGAGTGCCTTAATGGCCACTTAAGTACCAGCAGGAGATAGGACTGAGCACTGAAGAGCAGCTAGAAGGTAGAAGGACACCGACCTGGATCGATCAGGGTGTTTGTGTCTATCTGAGAAAATGTTTATGCACAGTTTCTTATAACTAAATGCTGTTGTTAGTATGTGAATCCATTCATTTCCATTAAATGTATTTTTGCATGTGTGCTAAGAACTAAATTTCAATTTCCAAAATGTTTATTAAATGTGTTAATCGTCATCTCGTTCTAAAAGGGATTATGTTAAAAAAAAGGATATTTTTACGTATACACGTGTTATCAACTACTTACAGCAGGTTTCAGTGCACTCCCAGGCTATTCATGTCTAATGAAGCAGTTTCCGTGTAGTTAAAGAAGAACTTGAATGATCATTACTGCATTTTTCAAAGTATGCGTGTGAATGTTTCTGTTTTTTCTTCTCAGGATGTGAGGCTGGCAGCTTTGGACCGAACTGTGAAAGATCATGTGACTGTGCTGGCGAGGCCCCATGTGACCCATCCACAGGACGCTGTCTCTGTCCCCCAGGAAGAACGGGGCACAGATGTGAAAAAAGTAGATATTACTTTTATTAACATGATTCACTTAAATCCAAAATAGATATTAAAAAAAGATCACTTAGGGTGTCTTGCGTCAAGTCTTTCCTTTCTTTGAATTTCCTCATTTCTTTCACTGTGCCTTTTTTTTCCCTCAGCCTGTGACGAAGACCGTTTTGGCCCTGAGTGCTCCCTGCTGTGTCGCTGTTCTGACAGGGCCCGCTGTGATAGGGTGAATGGACGTTGCCTGTGCCCGCTCACCTGGCTTGACCCTTCATGTAGTGAAGGTAAACACACGAAGAAAATAGATACTTGCACTATGAGACGCATAGTGCAAGTATCTAAAAGACTTGAGCAACCTCTAATTTTTGCATATGTGTGGAAGTAAATGGGAAATAGGTGGAGGAATTTATTGAAGTCTGCAAACATACATGGAAATACAGCATACAAGGCAAAATACAAGTAGTGTTCAGGAATAGTTCTTCAGGCTTCTTGAAGGACATTCAAAGCTCTTCTTTGGATGTCGTCTGCCTTTTGTTCTCTGTCAAGATGATCACGCACTGCTTCAATAATGATGAGGTTCAGGCTCTGGGGAGGCCAATCCATCAATGATTGTGTTGCACTGTGTGCTTTTACTGCGTTATAAGTGTGTCTGGGATCATTGTCATATTGAAAAGCCATTGTCAATCAGATCATTTCCAGATGGTATTAAATGGTGGATCAAAATCTGATGTAATCTGATGATCATTACATCACTTTTAAAATGATTTGGTTTTAGGCCTTCCACTTCTTCGTTTTGTCTTCCATTTGTCAAGTTTCCTCTTTTTTTTTTTAGGATAGATTGCATAATATATATTGCATGATATATCTCATATCACACTTTTATCTATGAAACTCATGGGAACCACCTTGGTGGTACAAAAATACTATGTTATGTCTGTCAAACTGTCTATTGCATTTTTTGTAGATTCAGTTAAATAAGAGGGAACAAAGCTGCTAGTAGCAAAGGGCCTGAAAATACCGTTCAAAATTAGTTCTCTGCTAAGTTGTCTGTTATATCGCAAAACAAAAAAAAGAAAGAAAAAACATTCCTCTAAAATTGATCAGGCACAAGAATTGGAATTAAAAAGACTGGAAAAATTAGCCAATGAGTGAAAATGTTTTTGAAAGACCTTCAGAAAGCCTGGGGAACTATCAAGACTACTTAAAATCACAGTAAAGTACAATATAAAGAAATGAGGTGTGACTCAAGACTTTTGCACAGTATTGTAGACACAGACAACCATGTATCATTACATGAGAGGACTACAGATTATCTGCCTAACCTCTATCATCATTTAACCTTAAAGAGTGTCCTCCACTTTCAAATTAACAATTCACATTGTGAGCACTGACTTTTTGTTCCCTTTTGGGAGACACCAACCCATAATGTGTCTCTGTAAATCCACTCAAGTCCCCACAACATGACTAATACCTGACCACACACACGCACACACTCGCACACACAGAAAACATAGACACCCAGGGTCAAGGGCTGTAAAGCTGAACCAGCTTTAGTGAAATACTGTGTCATGAAGTGTGAGAGGCTGAGCCCCATCACTCTGTGTGTCACCCTGTCTCTCTCAATAGCTGCTCCCGTCTCCTGACAGTTATTTTAATCTGCACCCAGCATGAAGCCAGTCTTGAAGCTGTCTTCATTTTACCTCCTCAAAGCCAAGCGCACGGGGAGATTACGTAGCAGTAACTTCTCCTCCAAAATCCCCAGAACATTTGCTTTTGATTTGCAAATAGTGCTGATGTCTTCTTGCCTCTTTTTTTCTTTTCAGCACCGCTCCACCAAACCCCGGGAGTGCTGAACTTCTCTGTGTCCCAACGAAAGAGAAGAACAGGCAGCAAAACCACATAACCCAAGCAGAGGTACAAACATCTGACTGGGTGTTCAAACACAGGACTTGGCTCAGTGAAGCATTACTCAGATCATCTCGGTAAAGGTAATGCTGGTGTTAATATGTTCGCTCAAACTTGTAGTCGGCTGTCAGAAACTGGCACTCAATCACCAAATCCCAAGCTCGGGGGCGATCAACTAGTGGACCTGGCATGTGAGAGGCCTTCAAAGGAGCATGAACTCAAACGTACCCAGTCAATCTAAAATTAAAAGTTCAGAGTTACACAAGCTCCTTAGCAATACGCGCACACACACACACACACACACACACACACACACACACACACACACACACACACACACACACACACACACACACACAAATACCTGAATTACATTTGTTACTGACACGAGATTCTTTTCATCCACTGCCACTTTTTTTATGTGGGTGTCCATAAAAGGCTTAATATTTAGTGTAAAAGAATGCCAAGCATACATCTATGTAAAAATAAAACTGTATGAAACAGATTTAGAAATACCGGGGCAGCTTGTTTACTTATTTTAAAACACAAAAGATGAACACACACAGAAAAAGTCAACGGGAGACACAAAAATATGGTCCAAAAGTGAAAAAATAGAATATTTTATGTGCACCAAAGTGGCCTGTTAAATGCTGGAAAGAGTCTCACAGTGGTGCTTGCACTTTTCAGATACATTTTTTGCATTTTAATGTTAACGCTTTTCCCTCTGAAAAGAATGAAGATCAGATAACCAGTTCATTTGTGAAGAAGCTGGCTCTGGGACACAATAATGGCCCAATATTCGTCTCAACTCACTTTAAGGTTAAGTTTGGCTTGACCAAATTTCATTTCCCTGCAATTCAAACACTCAATTTATTAGCGCTGACCACAGGTTTTCCTGGTGCAGTGCTGGTCGCGAGTCATTACATTTAAACTTCTTTCAGATTTGTGTTCGCCGAGTGAGCTGCTGACACAGAGGTGGGCAATTTTACAAAAAAAACCCCAAAAAACAACAACAAAAGAAAATGTTACTGCACTTTTCTCTGGACTTACAGTAGTAGAAACTCATTTCACCCTTTCACTACTGCACTACTTTTACAAGACATTTTATCTCGATTGGTGTTCGTCTGTTTTTATTTTTTGTAAAAAACTGTATGTGTATTATATCTCAGGTCGGTGCCAGTTGTATCACTCGTAACCCTACTGTGCTCATTTCCTGGCATATCAGTGGTGCTACATTGTTTAAAAGAGAAGATACATTTGATTTATCAGCCAGTTAGTATGTTTCATTTTGTCATCTGTGACGGTGCCGTGAACCAAATAAATAACAACAAACACATCTGTGGACATTTCCTTTAACTAACCATCTATTTTTTTTGTAATGTGTGCTATGAACGCAGCGTTGCATGGTATTGATTTTTGTGATCCCTAAGTTGTGTGGGCTGGGGGTTTGGGGGTGGGGGGGCAGTAAGGTATGGGTGGAGGTTTCAGCTGTCATTGAGAGCTATGGGATCATGTGGCTCTTAGTGTGTTTGTGTGTGTGTCAGTGTGCAAATTTGAGCAAGGCAACTACCAGACATCTCTCATCATCAGCCTGGGCAGGGTCAAGCATTAAGGCCATGCCTGCCTTCCTGATAGTAAACGGTGGGTTACCTGAGCTGAGTGTTAAGGTGTGTGTGTGTGTGTCAGCATCAGAGAGCAAGTGCACTCTCCCTGAGGCATTTTTCATGTCCACTGGAGCGTTTTCTCTCCCGTTGGCCAACGGCGGCTGTGGTCCGGCACAGGCGGGCAGGTGCCTGGACCATACATGCACCCTATATCCAGGACGTCCTGGGTTGAGTGATGGGTGAGCGAGCTCAGTACCAGGGGACTCTCCTCCCCACCCCACCCCACCCCAAACACTCACTCTCCAGTGAGGCTGATGGATGGCGGCGCGCTCCTGCTCGCCCCATGTTGTGACAAGCAGCAGATGTTCTCCAATAATGTTTATCGGCTGGGCCTTCATCTTCAGATGACACACACCTGTTTCCAGTCAAACACGCCCAGAGAGCCCATCCATCCACCGAGCTCTGGGTGGCCGCTGCACCACCGTATCAGCCTCTCCACAGCAGCACGCTGGGCGAGCAGCACTGTAAATGAGGGACTGGCATGGCAAAATATCTCATCTAAATGGCTACAAACAAGAGATGCTTACCACGCTGTTGTGCAGAGGCTTGGCTCTTCTAGTACTGATACTGCATTGATACAGTATGTTTCAGCGTCCTTGTTTTTTTGTTTTGGTTTTCTTTTGCATGATTTGAGATATGAAAAGCTTTTTGAGAGTGCCAGAATTTCAAAGGACACTTTTGTTTCATTGCAAGTAAATGAATAAAGCATGGCCTTTGTGCAGAAAGACTTTACGAGCGAACACAAAATGCCCCGCTGTTGCACGCATGCTGTCTTATCAGGGAGCGAGAAAAAGAGAGGGCTGGAGGAAACTGTCGATGAAATAGCCCGTAAAAGGTAAGATCGCATCATGGGTACTTTTTCGCTGTAATTAAGCATACGCCACTCTTTGCAAGAGAGATTCTATCACTTTGCTGCCATAGCTTCACGTCCCAGAGATAATTTCTGCCCCTCTGCGTTGAACCAGATCTCCCAGAAGGCCACAGTGTTTTGAACTCCAGCTGACAAAGCTGTCTGCTCAGATAAAAGAGTGAAGGGGAAATCATTTCAACACGTCCTGCACCATTTCTTTGGTTGCTGCCTGAAAAAATAAATCTTAAATGTCGGGGATGTAAAAAAGATTTGTATCAAGAAACTCTCCCACACTCTGGGGGCGCGTGGTGTAAAGAGCGTATCTTTGGTTTAGATATGTCGGCTTGTTTGACTACAAGCCTGAAGAAAGGTTGACTCTTTTTTTTTTTTTTTTTTTTGTCTTTCAGCAGAATTTATGTTATCACTTGCTCTAACTAGACACTCACTATATTTGAAGTTTATTTAATTAACTGGGAGAGTTTTTAAACCCAAATTTTGCAGGTAGGTGCACATTGCTACTTCCACCACTGGGGGGAGCTCAGCACAGAAAAGAACTTTGACAGAACTCTGATTCAAGTGAGTGCACATAAATGAATGGATCATGCTGTATGCTAATTAATGTCAGCATATATTGTCAATTTTGTGCTACAAACATTTTATGTTTAAGTGACTCCAGAAGTACCAAAACCAAAATATGCATGCCCAGTCCTTCAACAATGGAGCTGATAGCCTCTAATCTAATCCATGAGCAAGAGAGGAGATGATTTCAATAGCAGGCCTCAAGTGGTTCTGCCACCACGCCTATCCTGATTAGACTCGTCATATTAAAACCATGTGCACGGCTGGGCTGCTTTGTCTCGGTCTGTTCCTCGGGACTCTACTGAGTGTCCATCAATAACACTAATGGCCCGTAGCCTCCAGGGAGAAAAACGAACAGCGTAATGAAACCACAACCTTAAACTCTGCTGCTTTCCAAGAGAGAAGAAGACGAACAAGTAGTGAGGAATTGGTTTGGTTGTCCTGTACACACATGGGACATAGACAGAGGACGCGCTACCGTAAAAGTAAACACAACAGAAAGTTGATGAGGTGGTTTGCGGTGTCTCCCCACTCAAACACACACACAAGCACACACTCAGAAACACACTTTGGCCAGCTGTTAGCTTTAGTGTCCCTCCATACCAGCCCCTCATTCCTCCCTGAAGGATACACTCCCACACCCCTCCGTGTCTCCTTCTCTGCAATGTTTCCCTTGGTGTCTGAGTCAGCATGGGTGCCAAGTCAATCAATGTGAGAGCTGCCAGCTGTGATGGTCTCTCTCTCTCGCTCTCTCTCTCTGAGGGTGTGATGTATGTTCCAGCAAGCGGAGCAGGGCAACTGCACACCACACGGGGCTGACTGCATGGACGGGTGGAAAAGGAAAGGAAAAAAGGGTTGAGGGTGAGGAGAGAAAGAAGGAGGGGAAGATAGGAGGGGGGAAAAAGAGGACGGTGGCTGAACAGGAGCTGTAATGAGGCCTGATGGATTCTGAGGCTGTGCCAGATGCCCCATTAGCTGAGTGGCTCTGAGCCCCACGAAGCACTGCCCACAGAGTGCCCACCAGACTACACACACACTGTAGTGGCACAGCACCTTAAGGGCCTAAACCCTGCGAAACAGAAACACACACACTTCTCACATTTAACTAAAACAGATTGCAGTGACTAATGTACACTCTTCTGTCTCACTTCCTTAGCTGTTTAAACACACACTTACACACACATTCATCCAGGGCCATGCCAGCCACACACGGATACACACTGAGCCCTTTATGAGAAGGTGTGGGTTAATGACGGCAGCGGCTCGTCCCAGTGTATTGATTAAGTGTGAGTGGACACATGGGTGACACTGGCATGTTCCAATCAACACTGATCAAACCAGTGCACGCGCCAGTGCCAAACACACCCTCGTGTCACTCCGCTGCCCACGAACAATGGAACTATACACTGTGCTGTCCATTCATAATATTTTGGTGCTCTTTCCAGAGCCAGTGCCTTTGGACTTTTGTCTAGGGAAACGTTTTATGTAGGTGATGTAATTACATGGGCAATTTGAATAGCAGCGGGGGCAAGACCTCTGAGGTTCTGGTGGCTTAATGCTGCAGCAAAGTTAGTTGCCAGATGCAGTCAAGGTGTAACTGTTGTTTAGCAGTTTCCTCTATTGCACCTGCAGAAGTGTGCATCATTGCCTTTCTGAACTCATGCAAATTGATTGGAATTATCTCTGAACTTGATGCATATATATTTTTAATTCACTTAGTAAGTCTCTTAGTAACTAATTAGTAAGCCTCTTAAGACATTGCTTTTTTTTATGCGATATCTGCCATTTCAGCAGCATATATAACACCAGGGTGATGTGAAGGGGGCACACAAAAGCTGTTTTAAGAAAGGGTACCAGTGACTATGAACAATGTAAAAGAAATGTTTTGTAAGTGTAAGCAGACAGAATTCAAATCCTGCTCTGAAGTTCCCCGTGAGCTCCAGAGAGCTTTATAGTTTTATTCAGGTCATTATTTTGGCTTTGAGGCCAACAACTTGACTGCTTTGGTTGACTTTCACCAACCTTATGGTGGTGGTTTTGGCAGAAGTGAGTAAAAAGCTGCAAATATTCACTTTTACACGACCTCCTCTGTTACTTCAAAACAATCAGTCACACGATGATAGTACAGAACAGGGCTTTCAAACATAATGCCTGCGGGCTAAAATCGGCTGCCCAGTCCAGTGCGCTGGACAGCTTTAGAAATGTGAGGGAGTGGATAGATTTTGAATCTCTAACTGTATTTTTAAAGGGTTTTTAATTTTTAATTGGATCAGCAGATACAAATGTGTTCTGGTTGCTGACAAACTTCCGTTGTCAGATAAGCTTGAATGAGTCCCCAATAGTGCAGATGGCACAACCCATACTCAAGACCAATATCATGTCACTTCATTATGTTCCTAGCTTGCAAGATCACTACAGCTGACCTCATCAAAGCTGGACGACCCATACTGACCTCATCAACGCAGCGTGACCCACTATGACCTCGTCAAAGTTGGGCACCCCACAGAGCCCAGAGGGCTGACGATGGGCCTTAGAAAAACAACCCATCCATTAGGGTGCCAAGAGCACTGTAAATGTAGAGTGTCAGCGCCAGCCATCTTCACTGTCATGCCCAATTCTCCAACCCCCCACTTGAGCTACTCGCTGGACAATGGGGCCACTAAACCTCCAACCCTCCCAGCCACAATGTCCGCCCACGTTGGCTGGCAGCAAGCAGTGACGGGGGCAGGGGGGTGCCGGATGGGGAGGCCTGCTGCAGGATGGGACTCTTATTGAGTGTTTGAGCGATGAGCCAGGTCATCACATCTACCCACCTCATCCATCATGCCCCACAAACGGACACAAATAGAGAGGACACATTCCTGCCTCCGCTCCCACTACCACATTCAAGCCCTCTCCAGCCTTTTCTCTGCATCTCCGTCACTTTGTGAGCCAAGGCCTCAAAAAAAAATAAAGAGGACCAGAGTTCAGACTCTCCCTCGCTCTTGGAGGCCATGGGAGCGCCAGAAGAAAGCGCCAGGTGGTGTTCTGACTCTTGTCTCTTAGTATAAATTTTGACGTGGGTCAAAATGATGGGCAGCCAGAAGGACTGTATGGAGTGAGGAGGCGCGAGGGAGATGGACGGACAAAGAGCGAGTAAAATTATTTTCTGGAGTAATAAAGAGAGAAACGAAAACATGTCAATCCACATTGTAGTCCTTTATTTCTTAGTTGTTCCTCCCACAGTATTGAATTGAAATGCATAACAGTTACATTGTAGAAAGCATTAAAACAAAGTACCTCAACTTGCTGATTACTTTTTAAAGTCGATTATAAACAAAAACAACGACAAAAAACAAATAAACAAACCAAAAAAAAGAAAAAGAAAAATCTGGTCCCTCAAAACGGGAAAATAAATGAAATTAATCTGTTATTTATCATAAGTTTGGCACGAGGGATTAACATGAACCGAACATCACACAAGCTTGCAGACAACCGTAGAAAATGTCAGATACAGATCTTATCAGACCAATCATGCGCTTATGAAGAAATTATACCTGGCTTTTTTATTATTAATTCCTTATACTGTTT